ACAACTCGACAAATGAGCTGTTAGTTTATCATTTTAATATCGATTATACTTAATTAGCTAAATAATATTTATTATTATTTTTATTGTTTTATATTTTATGTAAAAGAACATTAAACATGTATATTTAAAATATTCAAAACACCTAAAATATTATATAACATGTGTAATTAGACATTAATTCACGTTAATTTTTTCAAATCGAACAATTTTTAATTGGACCACTGTCCTATTATATTATATGTATGCTTTTTTTATAGTAGATTTATATATATAGATATAGTATTTGTCCAGCAGATTTATATTTTATCGATACAAACAATAGAAATCGATTTACTAAACAAATTTTCAAAAATTTTGTTTTAAAAGCATTAGTAAAAAAGAATATAAAACCTTGACTCCGCTGATGCCCCGATTCCCAAATAAATACTCCACCAACAAAGTGACCTACTGTGTTTCGAAATAGTCAAATTAAAACCATTCAGTTAAACTGAACATTTAAACATTAAATGAGGATTTGTATATATCTCACATAAAAGAGAATATATATATATATATATATATATATATATATATCATAACAAATCACTTATTTCAAAATTTGCTACAATGAATAAACCAATTTCAATATTACTATAAAAGCATATTATGTGTATATATGGGGCAACCTAAATCATTGATTATAATGAATATGATGAAATAAAAAAGAATATTCCATAAATAAGAATTCCGAAATTGACGCCATATAAATTTGAATATTACTATAAAATTGTATTTTGTGTATATAGCATACAAGCTAATCCAAATTAATGATTCTAATAGTTCTGTTAAAATAAAAAAGAATCCTTCATAAATGAATATTCCAAAATCAGCTACATAATTATTTACATCATCTTTACCTACAAAATAACTATCAACTTAATTAAAGAAAATTTACAATTGACTAAAATAAACATAGAATGAAATCCCGAGTTATATGGAAACTACACAATTAATGAATTGTTTTTTATTTAAATAATATTATATTATTTCCATCTATAGTAAGTAATTAATGCTTGTGCGGGAAAATGTTGCTAAAAATGATTTAAATTACTCCTTATTATACATATATATAGATATATAGATATGGATCAATAATTTAAAATCAAGATTAGTACATGGGTGGATTTTGAAACAATTTGAAATAATACCTGGTTTAACTGATTCTGGGTCCCCATTATAATACCCTGGTTTAACTTTGAATATCAAATTTACGGAATTATCTTAGGATATACGTTCAATTTAATATACAAATATATGGGAAACAATAAATTTATGGTAATGAAGGAGTATTTATAGTATGCATTAATGTAAGGTGAAATATTTATTTATGGTTGATTCTAAGCCGATTATGTTTCCAAATTATTTATTCGAACTTAATTACAAAACATAATAATTTGACATGTACGATTCCAAAGCGTGCGAGTTTGCTTAAAAACTCATTTAAAACTAAAGAGTGCCAAATTTACATAATTATCTTAGGATATGCTCTCATTATAATATGATAGAGTTTATATACGAATTTATGGAAGACAAAAAATTTATGATAATGAAAGAGTATTTATAGGATGCAATAATGTAAGATGAAATAATTATTTATGGTTGATTCCAAATTGATTATGTGTTCAAATTTTTTATTCGAACACTACAAGAAAATGATGAAATTCCAATGGAAATCTATTCTAAAAAAATTATTTCAACGGCAATTCCAACATATATTTCAATATTATTATTTCCGTTGGAATTTTTCAATGGATTCCAACAGAAATTCAAAAAAAAAATTTCCGTTGGAATGGGTTTTCCATTGGAATTTCCATTAGATTTTGACGATTCTAACGGTGGATTTTCCAAAATTTGTTGTAAGTATTTTTACCGGAGTAGTTACGAAAGATTCGACACCGGGTCGTATCGCAAGGAAGGTTAGCCGGATTAATAAGTACGTTTACTCAACACGATTAAAAGAAATCAAATTCCTAAACATTCTAAACCAAATAGTTGGATGGTTTTTTAGTTATCAACTACTGCAAATAATTAAATAAAGCAGAGAAAATAGTAAGCAAGGGCGAAGAACAATTATGATAAAAGCGCTAGGGTATCGGGGATTTCGCTTCCAGTTCTCAATACATTTAGCAGACAATGAATTACTCGGCTAAAGGACTCAATAAACTAACTCATCCAGAGACTCATTCTCAATATCTCACGAAACAAGAGAATAAACATAAATAAATCAATCACGAATCAATTAGCACTTAGGCAATACGTTACCGAACAAGCCTATTCTTAACGAGCCTAGATCGAACAATTTATCCCCTTTCGGTTTCTAAATTGATTAATTAGATTAAGATGGAGATCAAGCATCTAAACCCTAGGTTAAGCACAACTCGAAAAGATGAGTAATTACCAAGCATTGAAACGAAATCGAACCGGACCGATAATCCCCTACCCCTAGCTTGTGAATTTAGCTACTCATCATGCATTCAACATCAACATATTCAATAATCAAAGCCATCTCAATCGAAAGAAAAACGAAAATAAGCTTACGATTAACGAATCCAATGTCGAGAACAATAGAAAAACCAAATCCAAGAGTCAAATCTCTAAGTTTCCACCCTCAAGACTGATCCCCAAGACAAAAAAAGTGAAAAATATAGGTTCTGGAACTTTTTTCGTACGAGCAAGAACAAAACC